CATGGCGTGATGGTGTGTGTGGTTTGGGCACTGGGAAGCGGATGGAGCCCGTGCCACTGAGGGCTAGGGCTCCCAGAGGGAGTGGGCTACTCACAGATTGGGCCGGTTGGTATTGGGTCCCTCACTCACTTAAGGGGGGTATCCTTGCAGTGAGGTGCACTGTGGGAACATTATGCTACCTACTCCATGGTGCTTGGGCTTTTGCCTCTGCTCTGGGGATCCAGGATTCAGAATAGGACTGAGATCCTTTATTTCTGGTGATCCAGATACTCAGTCTTTCAGCTGTGCCTGCCTTTTACATCAACAAGTGTTTGGTCCAGAAGCTGAAAATGTTTATTCCTTAATGAGCTCCACCCTGAACTCAGCCCACCCAGTTATGAAACACAAGCTAAATAAAACAAACCCATTGGTTTCTGCATTTTCTCTCAGGCTTATCTGTGTGTTTCCTTGTAAAATCCTGTAGTGATTTTCTGTGAATTTTTTTCCTTGACATTTGTTCTGGATCTTTGTCTGAGCTTCACCTAGCTGACACACCTGCACTGGTAAGGCCTCTCCAAGAATGTTGGCTATGTTCATAAAGCTGTCAGATCAAGGCTTTCGTTTAGAGGCACTCTTAAGAGAGAGACCTCAGGACAAAATTAAAACAAATGCAGTTTTAGCAGAAATGGATATTGTGTCCACTCAAATGAGACCTTGGAGATATTCAGACAGCCTCAGTAAAGTCTCCATTAGTCACTAACCTAATGGCTAGCCCTCAGCCTCCAGAAGGGTGATCTCTGGTAGTAGGCAATATGTGGTAGGCTCTTTTTTTGCCAGAAAAAAAGAGAAACTAACTCAAATGGCTTTTAATCCATGAGACCTGAGATGCTATTTGGTCAGTAGACGTACTTTCTAAATTGTTGGTAAAATAAGTTAGAAATACCTTTACAACTTGCCATGGGACTCCAAATTCCATTAAGTTGGCATGTACCAATGCCATCTTACTAGTTAAAGTGGTCAGTTTAAGTTCATAACTGACCATAAAGATAGGATTAAGTGTCAAAGGGATCACATAAATAAGACCAAGTGTCTACTAATAATAATAGAATTAAAAAGGAGAGAACGATCCAACATGGGAAGCAGGACACACAGCAGACTCATAGAATGACAGATGTCCTAAACAACACTCTGGTCTCAGAATCAGCCGTTAAGGCATTTGGATCTGGCTAAAAAGCCCATGAGAGTATTTCAGGCATGGAAAGCCAAGACACTGTGGCAAAAACAACCTGCATGGAAGATCTCTATGACTGAGATCCTGGTGGAAAGAAGGAGCCATCAAAGAAGGGGGTACCTTTCTCTGAAGGGAGGAGAGAACATCCACTTTGATTATGGCCTTGTCTAAATAATGTCAGAGTTTGTGGACTCAAGAGGCTTCCATAGCCTTGGCAGCTCATGAGAAGAGCCTTAGGTGATCACTGACGTCATTAATAAGAATGTCAATTGTTCAATCAACAACAGGAGTCACTGCACTTGCTCCCCATGTAGGACCTCTGTCCTTAATGTGTTGTACTATGAGAATTAACCGTAAAACTAATCTTCAAACAGTATTTTATAGTTTGTGTATCTCTGTGGGTGCAAACTGTTAAAATCTTTACTTAGTATAGAGTTGATCCTCTGTATATTAAGGTAATTAAAAAAGAATCTTAATGAAGAATGGAATGGGAGAGGGAGTAGGAGGTAGAATGGTTTGGAGGTAGGAGGGTAGGTATGGGGGGAAGAACTGCTATAATCCAAAAGTTGTACTTTTGAAATTTATATTTATTAAATAAAAGCTTTCTATATAAAAAAAGAAATACCTTTAGAACTACCAACATAAAATGTAATGGACACTCATTCTTAAGTCTACTAGTAAGACAGGTTGCATTGTCTCTTCTGGTAGATGTTTCAAGGCCACAAAACTCTTGCTAGTGTTATATTTTTATATTTGCTTTTCTATGAACTAAAGCTATTGGATTCCTAGCTGTGGTTTTTATGCTTAGAAGGAAATGATTGTTGTTCTTTCTAATCATTGTGAAAACTTTTCTTCTTAGAGTGTAATATAAATGGGTACACACAGTATGCAGCATGTGGTTTGTGTTTATCTGGTTTTCAGTTTCTTCCTTTTCAACATTAAAGTCAAGTTCTTACATTCATTATCTGGCAGAAGGTTGTGAGTAGATACTTGGCCAGTGACATCTTCCTTGCCTTAGAGGGAAACCTGAATGCCAAGGAACTGTACACTTTGGGTGACTGCTTGAGAACAGGGCCTGCTTCTGAAATGACAGCACAATGTGGGTAATAGTTGATGAGAAGTTGCCTTTTGAGACCTAAAACAGGGTAGAACCACAAAGGGTTAAGAGCCTAAACTCACTCATGGTTTTCTCACTTAGTGGGAGTGATTTTGTGCAAATCTTCTACTTCTTGTGAATCACAATTGCATCTTCTGTGAAATTGGGTGTTGTGAGGATAAAATGGTATGAAAAATTAAAAGCTCACTGCTATTTTACCTAGCAGATACTCAGTAAATGTCTGTTGTCATTGTAACATTCATAATAATAATAAAAGCAATAATAATGATGATCTTAGGAGAGCTAGGAGAAGTTGACTGATTTTGTGTTTTTGTTTTTTCATTACAATTAGAGTGGTGTATTAGCTGGATAATCTTTTGGAAGGATTTGATCACAATAGAACTAATGATCTCTTAAACACAGGTTATTCTGTGAAATTATTGAAAGTAAAACTTTTTATTGGTCATAATCAATATTATGAGTAACTCTGCAAAATAGTGTGTGAATGCAGTTTTTCATTGGTATTGGTGGCTACTTGGACAAACACATGAAAATATTCTGTTTTGCAAGTTTAGGTCTGAGACAGATCAAGTGGGAACAATATAATAGGATGGACAGGAAACAGAGACCCCCACACATTCGGGAAAACTAGTTCCAAACTTAACTGGCTGAATGCATTACTCTGATGTGGAAGCTTTTCCATTGACTGTGTTATATTCAGCATCCTCAGTTGGACAAATTGATGTGGGGTATCCTTTGTGAAGTCATCAATGGGATTATCAACAAGACAGAAGCAATGATAGTAAGCTAAAGTCAACCACCCATAACACTTCCAGCGGACCACCAAGCTGCCATGGATTGTTTAGGTAAATAGGGCTAGGACTTTATTCTCTGTCCCCAGCTGTCAGTGAGACCCTGGTGGACTTTAAAATGGCCTGTTCCCCTGGCTGCTTGGTTTTGCATCATTGTGTGATAGGCACCCATGTGAACATTAATGGTAATGCCTTGAGTGGTGATGGTGAGTTATGACAAATGGGTGCCTACTAAGTCGGGGTTTTTATTATCAAAGCAACCTAGGGTAAAAGTTTTGCTTAATGTTGGCTGTGTGATGAATGGAGGTCAATAGCTAGCATACAGCTATGTCTTGCATCATTTTGGAAAGAGAAGATGGTTATTAAGGAATAGGCAGTATAAAAGATGCCTCCAGCAGCTGAGTATGCATGTGAAATATTTTCCTGGTAATCACCTTATTAAAAAAAATGAGGCTTATAGTTTAGGAATGTGAGAGGAAGAATAAGATGAAAGAAAAAAATAAAATTTTAAGAAATGCTAACTTGAGTACACAATTTATAGTATTCCAAAGTGAATTTTGCTTGACCATAGTTGGAACTGTACTGAAATTTATTAACTTGGAATAATGGTAACAGATACTATCTGTCCAGTATGGACTCCAGTGTTCAACTGTATCATAATTTACATTGAGATGTTATATTTTTTCAGTATCCTAAGTTTAAAACTGCTTTCATAATAAATACATTCTTGAGTTATGAGATATCAGTGCACTATAAGGTATGCTGTTCAGACAAGTCAGACCTCACCCATACAGGAAAATAGGGTAGTGGCTTCCTTGTAAGATGTGGGCATACCAGATGCTTTTGTGAATGGAAAGTCTTAGGCAGATCAGATTGCTCAATTGTAAGTCAGAGGTCTTTTTTTAGATCACACAGTGGTTTTTTAAAATTTTATAAATTTTTTTATGTTTAGGAGACTCAAAGCCAACTAGAGGATTTTTCACTTTATGAAGTTTTTGTTTCTGAAAACGTTGAAAAATAATTTTAAGTCCTCAAAAAACTTAAAAAGAAAAAGCTCCATATTCAGCTCAATAGTGGAAAACAAGTGAAAGAAAAGAAAACCAAGAGCTGTGACAATGCAGAACTTTATGTAGAAATACACAGTGGGCATGAAACAGTACTTAATCTAGAGGATTTCCTCTGGAAATTGTGGGGTCATGCAACTCCAGCTAGAAGAAAAGTTCTTTTCTGTTTGTGTTTTGGAAGTTCCCCCAATGAAGGGGATTTCAGCAGGTTAAATTGGCTACTTCTAGAAAGGATCAAGGGATGGTGTCTTTTAACTTTTTAGCCTCTGGAGTGTGGACTTTTTAGCAATAGAAGTGTGTGTGTTGCTTTTGGCTCCAGAGAGAGCTTCCTCAGGGAGAAGAGTTGTAGCACAATTTGAATTCCACTGTTGCCAGAGAACCTGAAGCACGCCTGGCACTTCTTGCACATTCCGTGACCCACACCTACCAGTTCTCCTTGTGGAGGGGAGTTGCTGTTGAACAAATTTGCAAGTACAACCTGCAGTTTTGTCAAATACACAGTGACATTTCTGTTCACAGCTCTCTTGACTTATACTGTTTAAATATTTTCAGTTGCCTCTTCATTTGATTTTCTTTCTTTAATTCCTGTCGGATCTGAAAGTAACTTTTGTATAATTGGTTCCCTTGACTAGATTTTCATTATTGCTTTTGAATTGTGGTACACAAGTCGGTATGTTAGTAACTTCCTTCATTTATGTCTCCTTTTCTAGTGTAACATAGTTTCATAATCTACACAGCTTTTTTATATTATTGTATTTTTGTGTGGTAAAAAATTTTCCAATTAACTTCTTTTTGTTTCTTTTTGTTTTCCTTTGTAGGCTGAGAAATGGCATTTCAGAAGGCATTTAAAGGGACTGTTCTAGTTGGAGGAGGGGCTCTTGCCACGGTTTTAGGACTTTCTCAGTTTGCTCAATACAGACGGAAGCAAGTGAGTAACTATGCGTGTACTGATTATAATACATTTTATGATTTCAGTTCTGTGGCTGAAATCTGCCACAGAACTGTGTAGAGGGCATGTGTGATTTTGTTTAGACCCTGTTGTTGGCGTGTCAGTTTGGTATGAAAGATACTCAGAACACTGCCTTAGTGATCCTTGAGAACTGTGTGTGCTTCACTCTTAAAAAAGGGAATTTCTTTTTCAGCATTATCTAGCCTCTGTTTTAGCTTTTTGGTGTTTAGAAAATTGCTTCATTTAGGAGTGCCAGCATTTGTTCACTTAGACTTTCTTTGTCTTGCTGAAGTATTTGGATACTTTCTGTGTTCCTGCCAAAAGTTTGTCTTACTAGAAGGCAGGTGGCAGAGGAAGGAAATGGAAAATAAAGGCCCAACTTTGGACCCTAGTTTTATTTCTAAAATGTGATTTACTTATGCAGTATTATATTAGGTAAAAATTTTAATGGAGGAATGCCATAAAATTGAGATTAGTATAAAATTTTCAAAAATAATTTGAATTGTTCCATTTATTTCCATTTCACTTCTTCCCTTGGCATATCACAATGCCTTCCCATAGTTAAAATTTATTGAGGAGATAATTTTGCTGAAAAGTTTTGTTCTTTTCAGACTTGAAATGCTGTTAACCACTTTAGTGGTTAGTGTTCTCTTGTTCCCCCTTTCCCATATCTGTAGGGCATGTTGTGATACCAGCTGGGTTTTTCATTCTTGTTTAGAAGATTAAGGTGAAAGAATATGATAAGCCATTTGCAACTGGGCAAACTATGAGCTTCTAACTTTCAACATTTTTGGGTATAGCTTTCAGTCAAGGACTCTCTTGTACTTGTTGCTTTTATTTCTTTAGGTTACTAGGTGGTGAGGCCAGCTTAGAATCCCATATCCTGAATGGAAAATCCCACTTTAAAACACTTATTGGTACAAATCAATGTACTGGCTTGTGGTTAAAAGAAAAAAAGCTCATTTTCATGTGACTTCTGCTAAAGTTGGACAATGTGGAATAGGTTATGTAGTTGTGTTTGTCTTTTTCATTCTGAACTAGGAGTTCAAAATTTCTCCAGGAATGTATATTGCAGGTATTATTAATTGACTGACTTGTTATTGAAATTGTTCCCATACATTGGTCATGCTAAATGCACTTTTTATTTTTAAAGATTATATTCGTTCCTTAAGAGTAAGTGTGAAAAGATGATGCTTCAGGGGAGAGCATTTAGCCAAGTGTTTAAGACACCCTCATCCCACTCTGGAGTACCTGTATTCAATTCCTGCTCTGCCGCCTGACTCTAGCTGCCTGCTAATGCAGATCCTGGGAGGCTGTGGTGATGGAGCAAGTATTTGGGTTCCTGCTACTTGCATGGGTGACCTCAATTGAGTTCTTGGCTCCTGACTTTGGCCCCAGCACTTACTGGCATTGGTGGAGTGAATCAGTCCATGGGAGCTCTCTCTGTCTCTCGAGTAAATAAGTAAATAATAAGCGTGTTGCTTCAGCTAAGGCGGTTTCAGAGTGTACTTCTGTTTAGGACATGGTGTTGAGGGATTGGGTTACTTCTGCCATCTTTATGAGTGCTATCTGAAACGATTGGAAAATGCCAATGCCAAAGGTTACGATACCTAATATGAAAAGTTGTTGCTAAATTTGTATGTGGCTTATGTCTTTTAACCATAGTAAGCATGTTCTATCATTTACAGCTTAACTTTTTACCTAGAGTATTATTCCATGTTTATTTTTTCTTTGATTTCTATCTAATAATTCATCTAACAGAATAGAATAAATTGAAGATATTGTCCCAAACAAGTTAGGGATCTATTTTAGTCAGGAAAATCAAGGCAGTATAAGGGTATTTTGATTCCTGGAATGTTTTGTCATTTTATGCTTCCTAAGTTAGACATCTTGACCACCCTAATAGCCAAATGAAATAGATACCAGCAGCTTGAAGTCATTTATAATTTTAAACTGACAAGTTCTGTTGAAAAGAACTACTACAGGCATATTCAGTCAAGGAGTTGCATATGAAATCCAACTGTGTTGCATGAGTGAGAGAGAAGAAACCCCTGTTTGAGCCATTGCCATAAAATGACCACAGGCCTCCCTTAAGTCAGCTGTCTTCTCTTGGAAAATATCTGCCAATCAGAGCCATTCTAGAGGGAGAATTTACTTGACTTCAGTTGTCAAGAAAAATATCCCCCTTGAGATGCATTAATTTCCTCAATTTTTGTTTGGAGAAGCCTTAAATGTGACTAGGTATACTTCATTGTTCTCCAGTGATGCAGGGTGTGTTGGCTTGTTTGACAAGTATATTTACCTTCTGCGTTTTTTTATTTTTTTCTAATTTTTAAAGATAACTACAATGGATAAGCTGCCCTTCTATAAAGAATAAGTTGGTATTGAAACCCTTGATACTGCTGCCCTACAAAGCTTTTCTGTTGACTTTAAGTGCTGGCATGTTTTGCTGCATTCCCAAACTCTGTCTCCCGGCTCCCTGGCTTGTGCTCATTTGGTATTCTCAATACAAAGCTTCCTTCTTAAAATACAGGCAGGGCCTGTACCCTAAATACAAATGGGTGAATTCTAAGCATTGATAAATTTTTATTTGCAACTAAAAGAAAGAAAATCAGTGTACATGCTTTTAAAAATTATACAGAAAACACAATGAAATAAAATCAGATGTGGTTTTGGTTACCTTTACTGTGTTGCTTGAATCAAAGCCACAATACTTCAGGAAATACAGGCCTTTGTGGAGAGTGCCATTGCTGGGTGTCAGTTGCGATTAGAGGTGTTAGCAGTTATTTATATGTCTCATTTGACTCTAAGTATGGCTTTTCTTCATTCATGCATGCCATATACATTATCTTATGCTTATCAATGATGAATAGTACTAACTGTTGGTCCAAGTGAAACCTAGAGTTTTTTTGTTTGTTTGTTTGTTTTTTGGTAAGTGGGTTAGTAGGGGGCTGGTGCTGTGGCATAGCGATTAAAGCCACCGCCAGTAGTTCTGGCATCCCATATGGGTGCCAGTGCATGTCCTGGCTGCTCCTCTTTTGATCCAGCTCTCTGCTATGGCCTGAGAAAGCAGTAGAAGATGACCCAAGTCCTTGGGCCCCTGTACCCGCGTGGGAGACCCGGAAGAAGCTCCTGGCTCCTGGCTTCAGATCGGCGCAGACCCGGCCATTGCCTCCAACTGGGGAGTGAACCAGCAGATGGAGGACCTCTCTCTCTCTCTCTGCCTCTCCTTTTCTCTCTGTGTAACTCTGACTTTCAAGTAAATAAATAAATCTTTTTTTAAAAAATAGAAGTAATGGAAGGATAACAGACCCTCAGAGCTTAAAGGAGTGGGCTCTTACTATTAATTTTCTTTTGGAGCTAGGGCAGCCTAAAACTTGCATTCCAAAGAGGAAGCTAGTGAGGGAAAGGAGATGAATGCTTGTGGACTTCTTTTGTCCCCCTGCAGGGAAAGGGCTTTGTGACCACACATGATGTCCATGTTCCAGACTCCTTCTAGGAGTGCTCTCTGGATTTTCCTCCTCCTTTTGTCCTCCTCAGCTGTAAGTAGATGACTGTTTCCACAAGGTCATCTGCATTTTCCTTTTCCCCAGACCAGCTGTGTGTTAATGGACAGGAGGCTGAGTAGTGGAACATGAGCATCCTACAGCTGTGTTAAATGCCTCCAAGGATATAGCAGACAAACACCTCAGTGGTCATGTCTAGATTTTCAAGTGCAACGTGTCTTTGATTCACTATTAGTATGGGTTGGTTTTTTGTTTGTGTTTTTTTTGTTTGTTTGTTTGTTTTTTTGACAGGCAGAGTGGACAGTAAGAGAGAGAGACAGAGAGAAAGGTCTTCCTTTGCCGTTGGTTCACCCTCCAATGGCCGCCGCGGCCAGCGCACTGCGGCCGGCGCACCGCGCTGATCCGAAGACAGGAACCAGGTACTTATCCTGGTCTCCCATGGGGTGCAGGGCCCAAGTACTCGGGCCATCCTCCACTGCACTCCCTGGCCACAGCAGAGAGCTGGCCTGGAAGAGGGCAACCGGGACAGAATCCAGCGCCCCGACCAGGACTAGAACCCGGTGTGCCGGTGCCACAAGGCGGAGGATTAGCCTAGTGAGCCGTGGCGCTGGCCATGGGTTGGTTTAATAACAAATTTTTAGTTGGGGCACTTACGGAACATCTTCTGCAGGCTAACATCCACTGAAAGGAAGGGCTGCTTCACCGACGAGCCTCCCTTTCTAATTCCAACCGAGTGGGAGAACGGGGTCCACGGAGAGGTGAATATAAATTAGGAAAGAGGGCCTTGAGGTGCTTTCAGAGCAGGTAAACCTTTATGAGGAGAAGAAGTGAAGAGCATTAACGTCAGGGCTGCACGAGCTTCCTCCAGTAGTTGGCAAGGATGGGGGTGGTCATAGAGAATGGAGCAAGAATAGAGTGGGAGAACAAGGATTTGACCTGGAGCCGCTCTCCCCTTTATTTCTTGGTACTACAGGCCAAGGACAGTTTTTGGAACTTTGTTTTTGACTCAATATTTATTATTTATCTCCCAGGACCTAACTGGAAAAATTGATGTGATGGTGGGGGCTGCTTTATAACCCCAGTGGCATGGCTGTTGTAACCAAGACCTATTTGGGTCTGAGGGTGGGCCCTCTCACATAACACATGCTGAGTTTATTTCTTCCACCCCCTGAAGCTGTGGTGGGCTTTGTGACGTAATTCTTAGGTACAGCCTGAGAACCACCAAAGGCTTTCACAAAGCCCGGATGTGGAAGATATTCTTTTCTTTTTTGCGGCACCACACGTGGGCAGGGAGTGGGCTTCAGAGTATGGAAATGAAAACCTTTCCAGTATGAGAAGAAATCTCATTAGAATCAGGGAATTAAGAGATTATCATTGATTGTTGATTCTCATTGCTTCACACTGATTGTTGTTCTGTTCAGAAGCAACACAGTATGTTCTTTGCAGCTGTCTTGGCAGACTGCCTACGTCTAA